TAGTAGTAATACAAGTAGTAGTACAAGTACCAGTGGAGTGCGTGTCGTAGTAGTAGTCGTCGTCGAGGTGTCAGTGGTTGTAGTGGTAAAGTGCTACTAGCAGCAGCAGCAGCAGCAGCAGCAGCAGCAGCAGCAGCAGCAGCAGCAGCAGCAGTGGCAGCAGTAGTGGTGGTCGTACTAACAGTCCTCGCGCGGACTACTCGGTGCCAGGCCAAAAATACCCAGGCCAAAAGTGGTACCCAGGAACAGAAGCAGCCAACCAACTACGAAGAAAACAACAAGATCATAGCCACTAGGAGAATCTAGGCGATCTCATGAGATACTCGCGACACCAAAACCCTTTAACAGCTTGCCCTAAACCCTAAATGTTCAGTACTCTTCTGGGGGAAGGGAGAACTCTAAAGCTCCTGGGAGCCGACACAAAGGGGGTCACATGGCTTTGCTCATGGCCCCTGAGGTCGATCAGAAAGGTGCCATGTGTTGGAGGCTTTTTTTTGGAGGGGGGGGGGCGGGGGGCGAGGTTTGGGGTGAAGGCTCCGATGGTCCACGGGTTTGGAGGTTGCAGCAGGCTCAAAGTCAAAGCAGCTTTGGGTCTCTGGGATTTCGGAGCTCGTGATAAAACTCTTAGAATGGGCCAGGCCAGGAGGGCGTTGCCGTTGATGTCACGGAGACTCGTGCTGGGCAGCCCGGCATAGCAAGAGGTCCTAAGCTTTCCACCGGCGTGCACAGCTATTGTCACTGTGTGCAAGCCTTACGGCTGTATCCGCATGCACAGAACAGTCTCAGCAGTATAGGATCGAAAGCTGCAGCAATGAAGCTTCTAGCGGTAAGAACCTTGGTAGAAGCTGTTCCCTACTCGGCTGCACAGTGAGATGGGCGACACCCACGGCCCGCTGCTCAGGCCTGCCCTGAGACTCAGATTTATAGAAGCCGGCGAACGATTCTGGGTGGCTCTCACTTTTCCCATGGGAGAGTATGTTGCACAATGTTGAACATTGAGCCTTCGGCTTAGAAACGGTAATAGTGGCACCTACGACATCGTTGGCCGGCATACAAACAGTTACTCAACCTCCGACGACCAGGGCGCAGTCCACCTGGACGGAAGAGCTTCGGAAGTAGACGCCGGAAGAAGTAGAGGACAAGTACAACCAACTCTAATCCTTAGTTGCCTTAGTTCGAGCACTAGTACCGCCCGCTACTGAACTGCTAGCCATGCGCTTGCAACATGTTCACTAGAAAGAACCGGATGATTCGAAAGTTCCAAACGCCCAGGTGGCTTTCTGCCAAGTGAATATATAGTATACCGGCAAGCGCCTCAACTGTTCAACTTCTTCATGGTTGCAAAATGAGAAAAACACCTCATATCACTGGTAGCAGATGTAAGACCCCGTTAACTTAGCTGACAATCTTCAAAATCTGGAGGAGTGTACAACCGCAGATCTAAGCGTACCGCACCGAGCCTTGCGAGTGTTGCGGCCGTGGCCTTGCGCGGGAGGGAGTAGCAGCAGCAGTTGCGTTGCAGTAGCAGTAGAAATCGACGTCGTAGTAGTGTCGACTAGTTGTATTGCTGCTCCTCAAGTGTGTTGAAGTACCTTAAACTCAGCAAACCCTGCCTCGGCGTTGGCTGAAATTTTGGCAAGCTGCTTTGCTTACTCGGCCCGCAAATCCTGCACGCGCCATGAGACGCATGTCTGCACATGCAGGCAAAGCTCCAGGATTCAATCCATGCAAAGCCACTGTCAGCACTGGCGCGCCTAAAAGAGTCTGCGAGGCGGTCAGGCACTCTAAGGCCTACCTTTCGGCAGGGCGATGGACAGACCCTCTTTCGACCTAGAGCGGGCTCTCCAAGAAGCAGCTTTGATGCTCTGATGTGCTGTTCTTTAGTTCCGTCAAGTATGCCCCGTGGTTACACGCAGGAGCCTCAGCCTTGAAGGTTCCTTCTGTCGCGGATAGAGAGAGTGATCGGTCGACACACTCTTATGAGCCGACCTGCCGGTGGCCTACCGGGCCTTGGAACAAAATCAATGGGAGGGTCAACCGTGCCCTTCCTGTGCCGGAGGACTGCCTACCAGCTCTCACAGCTTGCAACTTCCAGCTGGAAGAAAAAGAGTCCACAGGAGGGATGAGTCACGTGACGTGGATTCGAAGCACTGGTTCAATATCACGAGGGAACCCGCTTGCCTGATCGTGTCAACCTTGAAGGGGGCTAAAGTACCCTAAACCCTAAACGCTTCATCACCATAGGTTTTATGATCCCTGGGCCCTATAAACAAAGCGAGTCTTGATCTCAGTATCCGACATGGGCCGAAACGCATACGCCCGAAAATAATCGAGACTCTGCCAAATTTGCACCCCAACCCCGAACAGTCAATTTTGGACCCCTCCTTCCTAACCCAACATCGAACCGACTAGTCAAAGCTCTGGAAAACGTCTGGTACCACAAAACCCCAGCTCCAAACCCGAAAAACACTACAACCTCACAATCCCTAAAAATTCCGGAAGCCCGAAACCCTAAACGTAAGCATCAGACGCACCCACGAGCAGGGTGGCCGCAACTCGGGAGTACGCATCCCAGGACCTCGTTGCCACTGTCTCTCTTTGAGGATGCTCTGTAAAGCCGTTAGAGTCTGGCGTCTTCTGGTATAGCATATTATAGTATAGTATAGTATAGTCTAGCAGTAGTATATTGTGTTTCTGAATGTAAGACTTGGGGTTAAGGCGTGAATAGAAGGCTTGCGGGTCAGATGAGGCTACCATCTAGATCTTGCAATTGCGGTGTACCTATAGGCTCCATTGTGGTTCCTCTGTGTGGCTATATTTAGGGTCCTATCAAGGTAATCCCAAACCGGGAATACAATGGAGCCTATGGGCAGTTACTCCTTGACATTTGCAAGATCATGATCTTAGCAGGGGTTCACCGCAGTTCCTTTCTGTTGCAACGACTTACACTTCAGGTGTCTGTGTTACCACTAGCATTACATGTCGTACCATCGTCAGCACTTTGCTTGCACTTCGTATTAAGCCCTCGGCCACAAGCTCCCAGAAACCCTGCACCGAAATGACTCTCAGGCCCTGAATCCCTGAATCCCTAAACCCTAAATATAAGTTCCCTGAGCCCGACGAGCCCCGATTGGTGTCTCGGGCGCCCGGGCTCTGTCTCTGAAATGCGCCAGCCCGAGGCCCAGGAAGACAACTGGTCGATGCTCCCCTGCAGCAAGTTATATGCAAGTATGCGATTAAGGTTAAGGATTAAGGGTGTAATGTTTAGGGTTTGGGGTTTGATGTTTAGGGTTTAGGACTGGGGCTTTTGCGTAACTAAGGTTAAGCGTTCAGGGTTACGTATACATATACATATACAGTATTCACATATATACATATGTATATATGTACGTAGCATATATATATATATATATATATATGTATGTATATGTGCGTACACATTTTCTACATGTATGGATAGAATCCTTACAGCAGCCCGTGCAGACTCGACTATATAGACCGAAGAGGACAAAAAGCCACCGAAATCTCTGAGGCGAGGGGCGGGGAAGCCCCGCTGGACCAGGCCCCGGCTCAAGCTCTTGTCCTGCGTCCGGGAAGGCTTGGGGCTTCGGGGATTTTAAGAATCTTGGGAATTGGGGGGTTGTGAGTTCTTCTTTTTTGGGTTTACGGCTTTTGGTTGAGGGTGCGGAATTTGGGATGCGGGGTTGAAGCGAATCTAGGCTCGTTGCAGTTTTGCCGATTCTTCGTCGGGCCTTTACACATCCAAAGATATCCAAAGGAATCACCACGAAACTTTGCAAAGACTTCAACACAAGCCTGCACCTCAAGCCCTATAACACATGACGAAATTCCAACCATGACGTCCTCCTGGACTATTCCAGCCAACTCCTGTGAGACCTGGGCATCGAGCACTCGATGGGGAGCCATCTGAAGTACTGCGTAATTTGGTTTACAGTAGGGCTTTACATACCGATGGGGCACCAGTATGAAACAAAAATAACATTAGAAGATCTACAATGAAACCGCAAACACGCAAATCCATAACGAGCAGTAAACAAACAATGAACACACAAGTGAAACACACACACACACACACACACATGAGCCTCGCCATCGCAGCCATGGCCAAACACATCATCATCTTCACCACCAGTGTTTATCAGCAACCTCACCACGATCAGCATCATCATCACCATCATGACCATCATCACCTTCTTCCAGTTTATTCATCTTCTGCTTCCTAATCTTCACCATCATCAGCATCATGACCACCATCTTCATCGTCACGGCCATCATTAGCATGCACACACACACACACCTCTGCTTCGGCAGCAGCACCAGCACCATAGATCCCCACCTACAGCAGGAGCACCCTCAGTCGAATGGTCACAACGAACGTAGGGATCACGGATTTGGTCATCATACTTACGTGTATATATATACACACATACATACATACACACACACACACACACATACACACACACATATATATATATATATATACATATATATATATACACCTCTACACATGAAAACAATACAGTACACAGCAGACTGCCAGCTGCAGCAACCGAAAGTCGGCAACATCAGCAACAACACGGAGACCATCGGGGGGGTCCGTCAGTGGTACCAAATAAGCCACTGCAGGTTGTCTCTCAGCTCCGCGCACGACGGAGCTGGCCCAGGAGCTCGTTCACCGAAGGTGCCTTGGACCGTAGAGTTTAGGGTTTAGGGAGCACTTGGAAGTCTTTCGATTTGGGGTCTAGCACCGTAGAGTTTAGGGTTTAGGGAGCACTTGGAAGTCTTTCGATTTAGGGTCTACGGGTATGTTGCTGACAGTGGTGCTTCTGGATCTGAGCAAAACTTTGAGCCCAAAAACCCCAAACCCCTCATTTCTCCACGGGCCTCCTTGAACTTGACTGTCTTCACCATGGACCTGCCGTCACAGAGTTCATATTTGCTCTCAGGCCTTCCTCTTTACAACAACTACTATTATTGTTATTATTATTGTTAAGTTACTTAACATCAGTGTTACTACTTACTACTAGTATTCGGTTGCAGACAGTCGTGCTTTTCCAGCGTGCAAACTCTTGCACCGTCCTGCATGATTCATTTCTGAAGGCGTTGGGCGGGTCCGGTGGGCAGTGGGAAGTTTATGACGACCCCGGTCTGCATTTGTCCTCGGGAGGAGGGGCTGCTATCAAAATCGCTGCTGTGCAGCTACTTACTCTACATTCGGTGTGTGTATGTGTGTGTCTCTGTCTGTCTGTCTGTCTGTCTGTCTGTCTGTCTGTCTGTCTGTCTGTCTGTCTGTCTGTCTGTCTGTCTGTCTGTCTGCCTGTTCTTCCACAGGGCTTAGGGGACTGTCAAGGTCCCCCGGCCTATTGGCCCCCCCGCCCAGTGTTATGGCGCTTTGAAGGGACGGTGAAAATTGCACAGGTTAACATCAGACTTCCAGAAGTAACTGTCTGTCTGTCTCTGTCACTGTGTTTATCTCTCTGTCTGTCTGTCCGTGTTTGTGTCTGTGCGCAGGGCTGCATCTGTCTGTCGTTCCCAACCCCGATAGTTGAAATGTACAAGACTTCGGCTCGTGTACGACTTCGCCCTGCCGTTGCTACGCCTGCTACGCCCGGTACGCAGTTTGACTCTGCACTTGCGGTGAGTTCTTGTGCAACTCGGCCAACACACTCTTTCTGTCTTTCAGCGTTAGACCAACTGTTACTTCGAAACCTGCAAGCACTGATTTATTGCTCCGTGATTGAAAGTTTGGATTTGCCAGTGCCTTTGATTCTTTTATCACCCGGATACGACCTGTGTCACTGTGTCTTGATCTGCCGCGGTGGGGGGGATCCCGGCTTGGGCCCGTTGGGGCTTTAGAGATCTCTGTGCTGGCTAGGGCCAGGGTAGGCGATGATTTGAGGGCCCTGAGCGACAAAAAGAATCCTGTATCCGGGCACCTGCCACAAAGCACTTTGGTGGCCGTTCGAGCGGCCTGCGTTGCAAAGCAAACAACCCGTCACTGCCACACAGCTTGACATGCGGATCTCTGTTGTCCGTGCCTGACACTAACAAGTTTGGTCAAGGCATAAGACAACTTCGCAACTGCTTGCCTGAATTTCGGCAGGCGAATCTCCAAGAACGATGAGGTTCACCCCTTCAGGATGGAAACCTCACTCTCCACTCGCGGGATCTGCACGGAAGTTCATGATATCTGCCGACCGCCTCTACGTAAGCAACATATCTGCTCGCTGCTCACGTGGGTGCCATGATCCTATTCCCAAGGACTGTTGAGAAATCCAGTGCTGGGTCCCCCTGCCCTCTTGGCGACGTCGTGCCAAAATCTGCAAACGCCCGAAAAGGACAAAGCTTGGCAATAACAGTTAGCTACGCACAGAAACTGAGTGATTCATCGACTCACCGACTGACTGACTTATTGCCTGACTGACTGACTGACCGCTTGCTTGCTTGCTTGCTTGCTTGAGTGTGCGGTGAGGTGAGCGAGTGAGGGAGTGATTGATGGACGGACTGGCGGATTGATGGATTGATGCATTGATTGATTGAGTGAGTGAGTGAGTGATGATCGGTCTTTGACTAGATGGGGCAGCTTCGCGAGTACGTCGTCCGTTTTATGTGTTCGACAGATTCAGGACTCTGAAAGTCCAGAACGCAGCATAACTGTTTAAGCCGTCGGCAAGCCCTCAAATTGAATTCAGGGCCCTTTAAAGAGTCCTGATTTTCATTAGCTCCTTGATTTGTAAGCTGCTTGAAGTTGGTGTTCGGAATGGCTTTCCCGGGTGCATGGCCCAGCCTCCTTAAACGCCTGTCGCTTCCATGCGAAGGGATCGCCAGGGAAGGAGTGCTCGTATATGGCCCTCGCAGACATCACCTTGGCACTTTTGCAAAGCAGGCAAGGGACCAAACTTCGGTAACGGATTCCTGGATGAGTGCCCAGTGCAAATCTCCGAATCGGAAATGCACCCGATTTCGACCTCAGCCATCCCATGCCCACATCGACTAAATCACAAGACTAATCTTGGGAGCGCGCTGTAACGCGATTCAGCGTTCGCTGCAAGTTCGGCAGGAATCGGCGAGCACTGTCCTGCTCCGGAAGGGTAGCGAATTATGTTAGGGGTCCTAAGGTCCTAAGGCACATTTGGAGGATCAATCGTCAAGCCGATGTTCCAGGCTTGGTGCGGCTTCGGGCCTGTTGGTCTAGAATCCTTCGGGGATCCGCTTGAGTCTCGGAGGCCTCTTAAAATCATCCGGCATCCGTTAGCTGCTATGCGTTTTTCACATTTGGAAAGTCGACATAAGGTGAACGGATGCCGCTGCACATGCTGACCGAGCATGCTGCGATGCCACGTGGGATGTCAAGCTTTGAAAATACCAGTTTCTGTTTCGCCTCAGCCAAACTAATGCCGTCGCGCACTTTCACCTGATCAACAGAACAACATCACCTCAAATTTGACTCGCAATGCTGTCCGCGAAGGGCTTCCAGTCGCGGACTGCCGAGCATTCCGAACAGCCCAGCCGTTGCCCTTGTTTCAGTCCCACCAATCACAGCCTACGATAGCGTGCCTTTGACTTTTGAAAATCTCATCTGCCAAGAAAAGCGAAAAGCCTTCAGTTCAAGCAGCGCGCCTGTACCCAGGATGCATTGCCGTTCGTGACAATCATCTGGCAGGGCACCATGATTAATATCGACATCAATAGCAACATTGTAGGCACTGGTATCAGAGGTGGTCAAGAGTTAATAGAGTCCAGCAGTACAAGTGGCGAAAGACCCGACGCTCTTAACCTGTGAATTCGAGTCAGCGTTCCAGAACCCGCTCAGGATAAATTTCGGCGCCCTGCATCAGAATGCGTCGATGCACTAACAGGCCCTTATAATGGCTCAATAGATGCCCATCCTACATCATCATCTAGGACGTATTTCCTGATCTGATTCCATTCCTGTGGCGCCTATAGAAGTCTTCATCCTCGTCGAACCCTCAACTGTGAAGACCCGCTACGTATGCTGTGGACATCCTCGGAAGAGACCCCCTATGGTACTAAACCCTAGACCCTGCTTCAACCCTAAACCTCTAAACCCCAAATCGGACACGAGGACCAGAGAACTGGGCCACTCCCTGAAGTCAGGCTGGCGCTGCCGTCTCTCCCAAATGCATGGCCGTGAGCCTCCAACGAGTAGAACAACAATGGCAATCGCATTGATACACAACGCAATGATGGCGCTGATGATGGTGACCACCGGCCAGGAGGTGGATGCTTGACAAACGGGCCGGGGCGGTCATGGTGATGGTGATGATGATGATGATGACGATGATGATGGTGATAGCGAGGATGATGATGCTGGTACTGATGATAACCATGATCATGATGCTTCTGAGGATGATGATGATGATGACGATGATGATTACGATGACGAGGCTTGGTGATGGCGACGAACATGACGAAAATGAAGACATGCCAACTAAAGGGTGGGGGCGATAATAGCACGGCTGACAACTGATGGCGATGCTGATTGTGATGGAAAGAGGATGAAAATGAAGGTGCCCGTGATACTGCCCGATCAGGACGAGGATTATGCTCAGGGAAATTAGGGTGATGGATGCCGACGTCGTCGTCATCATCATCATCATCACCATCATCATCATCAGCATCATCATCATCATCAGCGTCATCATCATCATCATGACCACCACTTCGAGTAGCATCAACAGCACCGTCGTCGGCGTCGTCATCATCATCATCATCATCATCATCATGAACATGATGTTGATCATCACCGTCAGCATCATCATTGACCTGGTCCTTGTGACCGCGGCATTCAATTGCAATCACCAACATTCCCATAACGTCGTTGTCATCATCGTCAATCATCGTCATCATCACATTCCATTTTATTCGCCATCACTTTATATTGTCATCATCACCGTCGTCGTCACAGTCATCATCATCGTCGTCCTCCTCCTCCTCATCTGCCTCGCTTGTTACGAGGATTTCTGCAACAGTTGCGATGAATCTCCTGCCTTCGTTTAGCGTTTGCAGGGTTAGTTCTTAAGCTGAAGTTCAGCCTTGGCACTATGCCATATGCCCTTCCAGAAATGCTCGCGGTGCTTCAGCTGCTGCTACGCTCAAGGTTCACCGTTATAGGGCAGTTGGGGGTTTCAGCTAGGGTGCACTTTTATTTATTCAGAGCAGTCAACACCTCGGCCCGGGAGAAGAAACCTCAGCCCCAACACATTAACAAGAGACCTTGCTGTGTGCAACCTGCGTCACGCACTGTGAACGCGTCGACGTGCAACCCTAATAAGAGATCCCCCTTCACGTTTCCATGTGGG